GGAGGAGGAGGAGGAGGAGGAGGAGGAGGAGGAGGAAGACCAAGAGAAAGAGACGGTGAGTTTGGGCCTCCCAATTGCTAGAGTTTTTCGTGTGGTGGAGCATTCCGCCCAGTTGGGGCTTGCGTGAAGGCCTCTGGGAGGGGGAGCTTTGTTCGCTTCACATGGTGGGGGCGACGTCTTGCTCAGTGAAGAACCCAAGTACTGTGGTTGACCATGGTTTGTTTTTGTGGCGTCTCTGGTGTCTCCTTCTTGACGCACGCCCATGAAACAATCCGGCACAGGATGCAAAAATAGTGCGTGTCTTGTGAAGTTGATCCTTCCTCGTTTGTGTTTATTCAAGCCGGTGTTTGGTACACAAGGCTTGACCGCGCCGTCTGCTGATGGTTACTCCGGCCAAACATCGTCAAAATGGTAGAAGAAGCATGTTGGTATCTGGAGAACTCGCGACAACAACCGACCAAGTTTTGTTCATTTCGCAGGAGGAGACTCAGGATGAACACACGTCGGGAACGACCGAATCAGCAGCAGAAGCAGTGGAGCATTCCGCCGGCAGCAAGAATGGCGATACCGGCAATGATAGCACCGATGCACACAAGCAAGCAGGAAGAGGGAAGGGAAAAGAAAGGGGAGGTTGGCATGCTCCGTCCGATTCCCCCAGATTCCCAAGATCACCGGCGAACTCCCCAGCCGCGGGGGCTGGCCATCACCCCCCCCATGACCACCATCCCAACCCCCGCCCCCCCCAGCATCCGGGTGCGGGGGGTGGGGGGGAGGGTCACGGAGAGGTCAAGGGCGGGCAAAGCGGTAGCGGGTACCCTCTTCTCGCTGGAAGCGTTCCTTCTCTCAATAGAACTCCCTCGGACAGCGGGGCGTCGTGCTTCGNGGGGGGGGGGGGGGGGGGGGGGGGGGGGGGGGGGGGGGGGGGGGGGGGGCTCTTCTTCGCACGAAGCGTGCGAAGAAGGTGAGAGAGTTCCGGAAGTCCTGTTTGTCCTCGGATGGGCGGAATGGAGTAAGCGCTTTCTCGCTCATCATTCTTTCATTTGGTCTCTGCTCTACGCGTGTGATGCTTGGTGTGCCTCGCTTCTTGCTGCCCTGGTGCGGAGCGTTTTTGCTTTGTTGGGTGTATCACCAGCCAGGCGGTCACCTTCCTTGCACCAGCACGTAGATACGTAGCATGATTTGAAGACAACCATAACAACAGCAACAACAACAACGACGACGACGACAACAATGCCGTGACTTGACTAGGAATGTTCGACTCGTCCAATTCTTCATTTTGAAAACACTGGCGCTGGAAGCTCCTCTTGACTGTGCATGTTCCGTGGTAGTTTGTGTTCGGGGTATGCATCGTATTCCATTCACATCGTATGTAGATGAGTTGCGAGGGTCCATGTCGAGTAGGTGGCAGTGTCTTGCCGGTGACTGCAGGAGGGCGCGTCGTATTGATGTTAATCTTATCGACGAAAGTATACCACGGAAAACGGCAGGGCAAGAGTGTTCGTCGAGTGCTCGCTAGGTCCAGAGGGGATTTGTCTTCTGTGTTCGTGTTTTTCCCTTCAAGCTCAGTGTCGAGAAAGGAGAGGTAGAGCTTGGCATCTGTGTTTCTTGGAGGTTCTTCCGGAATCATAAGATGCGAGTGTACGGGCTCTACGGTAACGCTACTTTATGACGTTATCCATCGTGTCAACAAAATCAGGACGAGGCGAAAGGCGACAAATCGCTCCATCTTTAAGCTGTGAACGCAACAATACTCTTACGATGTTGAAAATAGTAAAAAATTCGGTAATTTTTCCCTTTTGCAGTATGGTAGGGTTCCTGCTGCATTCAAAGCTGAGCGATTTGTCGCGTTTAGACTCCTCCTGCTTTTCGTGACCCGGTGGAAAATCGGCTCGCGCCCTTGGCGGCGTAAAATATTTCCGCGCTTGGTTGGTTGTTTTCCTTGGCGGAGTGCAGTGGGACCACTCGACGTCCAGATCACTTGCGTACACCCTCACCACGTGCAGCAATTTGTAACACGTGCAGCAGAAGCGACCTCCGGTGTAACTCCTCAAGCAGTAGATTTCCGTGTTTACGTGGGACTTGTTTCAAGCGGTACACTGCCAGCTTCTCGGGTGCAGCATCTGACCGAAGGACCGTTCTTCTTCACACCGGAGGCTCCGAACCATCGTCATCACCTGCGGCAAGCCTATCCATCCCCGTTCCTGCCCGCTCTTGGTGTGTTTTTTTTGCCGCGGTCAGGCTGGGCTCCGTTCTCCCACCGGGAGCTCCAGAAGAAGCTGTCGTCTCCGCAGCGTAAGCCCCAGCGGAAGATCCTCTCCGCCGCGGAGGCCAAGCTGCGGCAGGAGAGGTACGCACAGCAGCAGCAGCAGTGGTTACGGACGGAAACTTGCAAGCGTGTTGTTCGGTAGGGTACGCACGAACCGAGGCGTACGGCCGGTATGTGCACACCCTTGCCGAGCGTCTCGGTATGATTTGTACAGACTTCCAACTCTGCATAGATGTAGCGAAAATCTCGGTACGATCTGTATAGACCTCCAGCTTACCGTGCATACCCGAACCCTACCAAACACACCCTTGGAAACGTGTGATGTCTCAAGTAGAACTGCAGCTGAGCGCTACGTACTGCGTATGCGGCGATAGGTCTCAGTGCCAGCGCGCAGCGCGAAATAACGGCCGACTTGGGAATTGTTGCGTTTTGGCAAGCCACATAACATGTCTCCTGAACCGGCGGAAAGTGTTTGCTCTCTCGCTGCATGTATCTCAGCTGGCTGGCTGTACCAGAGGGAGGGAACAGCAGTAGTTTGCTCTCTCGCGCTACGTGTAACGGGGGGAGCTGAGGTTGAGAACAGCAGTAGTTTGTCTCTCGCTGCCTGTAGCTCACCCCTTGTCCTTGATTCTCCCGCCCCTGGGGGAGCCCTGAGGTTAAGAAAGCAAGGGCAGACCCGAACCGGGAACATACCACTGCTGTGTAGGAAGTATAAGGAGGCGAATCTGAGCATCTTGATGGTCCCTATATGGTCGAACAGAGTCGTATTCGGTTACTACTTGATACCGGTGTACGCGGCCGAGGCTAGTGGCGCTGAGGTAGGTATTTTGTTACTTCCTGTTTTTTCCCTGTCATCGTTGTTGCTATATTTTCGGGCAGGCGGCAGATGGTGGCGGAGCTCAATCGGGCGCAGCTAGCGAGCGGGGTCACGGAGAAGCTCAAGCAGCATGAGGAACGCGCGAGGTAAAAGTAGCGGCATCGTCCTGTGCGGGCGTGAACGAACACGCGACGTAAGCGCGTTCTTGTTTTGACCCCGGCTGAGCCATGACTGATGTGTTCCTTTCTCAGTCGATTCTGTGTTCTGTGCCGGTTGACACACAGACTCGCACAAGACGAATGCTTGGCAGTGACGATGCTGTCTCGCCCTTACGAGTGTGCTTTGTCTGGAGGCTGGACCTTTCTACAACTCAGTCTACGCGCCCCGTGCGAACTGTCTTCGGACCCGGACCAGCGGGCAACAATTGTTGCTGGCGTGCCAAGACTGACGCCTTTGTGTCGGCCGGCCGGATAGCGTTGTCGAGGACCAGTGAAAGAAACACACACACGTAAGCATGGAGACTGGACCCCAATCCCCTCCACACACACCACTTGTCGACGCCCACCTCCGGGCTAGAGAGCATTTTTCGTTCCGCTGAAAGACTGGCGTCTTTGCATTGGTCAGCCCGTCAGCGAGCACGCGGTCGATTCTATAGATACAACAACATACCGGGGGGGGGGTCAACAGCTAAAAGGCATTCGTCTTTGTCGTTTCTGAAAGAGCTAAATGCGGTCGTCTTTTTCTTTTCTGGAAAGGGGTGTGCGGTTCCGCAAAGAGGAGCAGCTTCTTAAGGCCGAGGAGGAAGCAAAGAGGAAGATGGAGGGGGCCGACGCCAGGAGGAAGGAGCACCGCAGGGGTATCGTCAGGAAGGCTAACGATGCCAACTCAAAGGTGCGGCTGCCTGTCTCTCTTTTTCAGTTCATACGGAGCACTCGCAGAGAAGACAAGTCAGGGAGGCCTACGACGCTGAGAGCTCTTGTTCGTCTCTGTTTTTTTTTTAGAGCACGCACGGGGGTGCAATCAGGGAGGCCTACGAGGCTAGGTTCTTGTTCATCTCATCACTTCTCTTGGTAAATCTTGAAGCATGTTCTGATTCCGTTTGTTGTGTGGTAAATGTACTTGTGTTGATCTTGGCATTGTATTCTTCCACGTCTGTGGCGTGCTTGATCTATTTTCGTGTTATGGTCGAAAACTGAAAGTTATGATCACAGGATAACTTTCCCGTAGCAGCCGTTTCACCTTCGTCAGGCCCCGGAGCGAAGTGCTATACAAGCACGTTTCTTGCAATTGATTTTGTTTTGTGTTGGGGGGGGGGGGGGGGG